AGAGCATCCCTGTTCTAATGTCCTTAACCGCATTATGAAAACTACGTTGCTGTCCTGGTTTTGCATACCCACAGCACAACAGTAATCTCAAGGAGCTGCCAGACAGCTTCAAGTGCCCAACTGATATAAAAACCCCAGAGGGACGCAAATCCAGCTCTGTTGCACAGAACTGTACCCTGCCACTGTGTCCTTCGTGACAACACCCAGTGGGCAGCCACCTAGAGCCTGGCAGAGACCACGCAGTGCAGCCCAGCAGCTGGCCACCAAACTGTAACTGGTATAAGCTACAGGCTCCAGGGGGGAGCATGCACCTATGTTTTCCCTCTCATTTTCTGAATTACAGATGATCACTGGACTGTGGCACGATACTGAGGAAGGAAAAGAGCCACACGCAGGAGAGCCGTGAGGAGGGGCTGTAAAAGGCTGTAATGGAGAGGATCCAAATGTGGCAGCAGCAGTAAAAGTCGGGTAATGACTGGGAGATCCGGGAAGAGGAGATGAAAGGGGACTAAGCAAGGGGAAGAGGTGTGAGGATAAAGCAGGGGAGGAAGCAGGAAAAATGAAAGAGAAGCCTAAGGAATAGAAGAACTGAGGAAAAAGCCCTGTTTCTCCTCCACCTCTTCTCTCTCCCCCACACATCCCTTGAATGCCCTCCTCCCTGGTACTTGCTAACGCTGCAGCTGAAGCCTCCCTCCTAGCACAAGAGGCTGGGCTCCGCCTTTTCTGTAGCAGGGCACAGACAGCTGGCTGAACACTTACAGCATCTCTTCACAAACTTCCTTACAGTCTTTAGCCACCACTCCTCTAGTAAACCTTACCCGTGAGGGTGTGCAGTCTGCATCCCATGAAGTGCCTGTTAAGGAGCAGTGCTCAGGTCCTGTGCAGAGAGGCCACTTGCACAAACAGGTGCTGGTGTGAAGCGCCCACAGACCTGCACATGACTTATGATGAACAACCACAGATACACTGGCTCCCTTTTCACGGGAAATCATCATAAGAAATTTCAACAGAATATAAAGAAGGGAAATTAATTTCCTGGCAAGTTTCTTGCATTTGCAGGAAACACAGCAAGCAACTGAGCTTTTGTTCTAGCTCTTGCTGTGAATGAGCTATTTTACGCACTGATAAAAATGTTTGCATATCTTCATGCAAGGTCCTTATAACCGTACATGCTTTCACACAGAACTGAATATCTTTCACACAGAGTTGAATGTGTTCTTGCACCAAAATTAAGACTAAACAAGTGACCAGAAACAATTGACAGCAGTATCCCCAAACGATTGTATGAGGGGTAAGAACGTGCCAATGAATGCCAATGAAAGCACATTTATAAAGATTTGTATCTCACACTACAGAGTGCCAAAAGTATCTTGCGTTTGAACTACCTTCTTGCTATTTCACCATTTTGAGTGTAGCAATTGTGGAAGACAAGAAACTTGCATTCAATTACTAGATTCTTACTTAAGAAAAAAAAATAATCTAAAAAGTCTTAAAAAAAATAATCCTATCTTTTCAGATCTTTACAGCACATGGCTGTATTGATACTGTTCTATTTTTCTGTTCTATTAATAAGCAATATATCTGCATCATTATCATTCTGCTCAGTGCCTGATGAACACATCCAGAAAACAAAAGTATGCAAATTCAAAACACTAATTATTAACAAGACCAAACTAATGTCTCACACTTTCATTGCTCAATGAAAACAGTATTTTGAAATACTGTCAAACATGATTCTGACAAAAATGAAGCACGCTGTCCTGCCTTTACTGCAGAATGATATTTCTAAAGCATGCCAGTCAGCTTTCTGAGGTTTAATTTGTGGCTGAAGTAATCAGAAGAGGAGTTCCCTCAGAGGTCTGAGATATTCCAGGACAACTGGTGAAAGTTTTTGACAGTACAATGATCTTCCTTAGAAGTTTTGTTTATGTTCATAATGAAAAAGAATTCTAATGGCTTTTTTTTTTTTTTTTTTTTTTTTTTCTTTTTAGTTAGAGTTGACAGGCATGCCTGAGAGCCTCCAATCAGTTTCAGAGTGGCATATGGACTGGGATACAAGGAGAGGCAGCAGAAAAATGATAATGAAAATGAACCATGAACTATTCAATATTCTGATGAAGTTGAAAAACTAGGACTGTTTACGTAAGTCAGAGCTTACTTGCATTTCCTGACATTTCTGGTCTCTTTTTCCCTCAATCAAGACTTTAAAACTGATCGATGAATGAATAAAAAAGAAAAAAAAATCAGTGTCCTGCCGTCTCAGTTAGGGGCATCTGCTATTTGGCTGAATTGCTTCTCTGCTCTTAATTCTGTTTAAAAAACAGATTCAGTGATATGTGCATCCAAAACAAAGCTTTTAAAGAGCACCCAAAACTGAATGGTTAAATACATACTTGGGCATAGGCCCAAGTGACATTTTATATGGAGCAGGGGCAGATTCAAACCTTGCATTTCCGAGCAAGCAGCATTTGGAAAACATTTACTTTCAGAAACCCTTTAAAAACCCTATGAAACCCTTAGAACTTGTCCCCCTCGTTTTGCCTGGCATTACGAACAAACTCTGTTGGATGTAGCGGGCATGCAAATAATAGTTTCTAAATGACAGTTTCACAGAAGTCAGAACATAGTCCTGATTTTTTCTCTCATTTAGATACTAGTTCTGATTTCAAAATGAAATAGAAGTTTTCAAAGTTAGAATTATATGTCTCATGACTACTGCTTTTAATTATTGTAAACATGCCTGGAATTACCACGTAGACTGATATTTATCAATGCCAATATTTTTAATAGCACGGAGGAGATGTGATCTCTGCTTCTTCTTTCTTCCCTTGCCCAAGTCCCTGTTTTCCTGCAGATCACAGGGAACAAGCCACACCATCTCCCTCTAAGTGCACAACAACTCAGAGACAAAATGCCTTTCACCACATTATGGATAGACTGGAACAGCTCTGCTGCTGTTTTCTCCCCCCCGGGACAGGAGAGGGGGAAGGTACTAAACATGCTAGTGGTTTAGACAGCCCTGGAGGTATTAGCATTGACATGGGACAGCCATCAGCAACCCGTGACATTTACTGTACCCCCAGGTGCAGGACCAAGCACTGCATTTTGCTGACCATGCCCCGACTCTGCAGACATCTGCCTGCCCGTTCCCTCTCGCCAGCACTGCCCTGCTCCTGACAGCCAGGACTCACCAAGACATGAAAGAGTCCAAATGATATAATTTGGAGTTTTAAAGAAAAGAAGTCAGGGGAAGAACCCATAAAGAAATTCGTTTTCACCCTAGTGTTGGCTGCAGCCTTGGGCAACGTGAGCAGCTGTATTCCCAAGCTCTGTTCTGCAGTGCTGGAACGGAGAAAGCAGAACACCAGGCCTATGAGGTCAGATTAAACAAAATGCCATTAAAAACTTAGCTGCTGGGACAACATTAGATCAAAGCTGACCAAAGGAAAACACAGTCATAAGAGAAGTAATGGCATTAATTTAACTAAGCAATTCCTGAGCACTACAGCCTGGATAAAAGGATGAAGTTTACCTATAAAACCCTCTCCCCCACTTCCCTGGCACTGTAACACACTGGAATTTTGGCAGAAAGTACACTGAAGATGCTGTAACTTAGCAGAGCCTGTGTTAAGTAAGACAATCTAGGTAAGACAGTATATACAAGGAGGAAAGACTAACGTCACAACATGAAAATGGAAAAGGGGTGGTTCTGCCTCCAGAACCAGTGTCCAGCTTTCACAGACTGCAACAACCATGAAGGTAACATAACTGAACATAACTCACTGAACTGCAATGAAAACCCTGCCCTTGTTTAAAGCTGCTCTAGTCTGTGGCAGCAGGAAAGTGGCTCCTGACTTCCCCCAGCCACGGAGGGCAGAGCGTTGCTGCCTCCTCAGCCGCCAACGCCTCGGGTATGGGCGAGATGCTATGGCTACAAGTTTAACATCACCAGTGGAGATCTCATATCTGGACTTCAAAGTATTTTACCAGACATATGTATGTACTTGTTGAGGCATATACATGTATATACATATCTTCAGTGTCCTTGACATTTTACAATAGTGTTTATTTCCTTACTTGCATTTCACAGATTTTATTAATCTACAGGGAATTGACATGTTCAAAATGAGCATGAGTTCTTGGGCTTAACTTCATAAACACAACATTAGCAGAACAGCATTCTTATATACACATACACAATGCTAAGTAGGAATAAAGCATTTCCTATGGGCAGAGGACGTCTTGTATGGCACCAAATAAGCATTGTGTGACAACCTGCAGGGAACTTAATAAAAGCAGAAGGACCCAGTTTGTCATGCAAAGCATCGCCCTGTGCTGCCTGGCTGTGCCAAACACACAGAGGGAGGAGACTGGGAATCAGGTCACTGAATCTATGACCCTCCATTTACATCAGCCCAGCACTTTTGTCAGGGGAGGGGAGATAAAACAATTCCAAACCTAGAACAGTTCTAACAAGACTGTGGGATCCAGTCCACAAATGTGGACTCCTTTTCTTTCCATGAAGCAGAAGTCTGCAAGTAGTCTGTTTATTGTGACTGTATATAAAGTCCACCATGTGGCTTGCATCCACTGTTGTTAGTGCTTACTCGCTATATCGCAATGACAACAAACCCCATTACAAAGAATAATTCTGTTTTCACCTGGTCACTAGTGGGACATAAAATCACTTTGAGACATCATTTCATAGAGACACCTAATGAAAATTACCCCAACAAAAATGTGCAAAAATTAAGCCCCGGATTAAAAAAATTCTTTCTTAATGCGAGGGAGTAGCTGTCAACAGCTCTGGAGAAGGCACGCACTGTAACCAGATGCAGGCTTTTGTTATTCTGTTAGGGATGTCAGAGGCTTTTGCTGCTTTCCCTGACTCATCCTACTCCCTAGTGGGTATTCTGACCCCCAGTCCTGGCAAATCCAGCAGTACCAAAAAGTTCTCTCTGGAACCTCATTAATCACTCCCCTGCCGTGTGCTATCTTACCTGCAGATGTAATTCTTCTTGCAGGATTCTTGTAAATTCAGGCAGTTTGGTTTCTCCCTGTCCTCATATGAACACACAGGAACAATAGTCTGCCGTCTCCTCTCTGTACAGGCTACGTCTCGACAGGAGCAGAAGAGCATCCCGTAGCTGTGCTTTGGGGGAACTTTGTCAAAAAATAGCCGGAGGGCCTTATGACACTTCCGCTTGTTACAGATTTCATTAGACGTGCTGCTGGTGCAGGGGGTTATGTAAGCAGATCTGAACCTCTTGCAGGTATCATTTAGGTTACAAGCTTTTGCTGCATCCAAGCAATTGTTCCCCTTTGAAAGTACTGGCTCCACTAGAAAAAACAACACAACAGCAGTAAGAAACGTGTCACATTTATATTGTGTTTTGACGTTTGTGTTTATTTCATTCTGTTAATGAGATCTTGATAATATATTTGTTACGTACAAAACTTTCAGTGCCAGAAACCGTAACCAGTCCTTATGTTTCTTACGGTAATGGCTTAACAAGTGAACAAGAGCACAGGCATGCGTTACGATCAAAGCGCTGGCAAATAAATGACGACTACACCAGGCAGGCTGTACTTCATCTTCTTTGCAGCTGACATGCAGGATGAAAATTGGGAAAGACTTGGCCACACTTAAATGCTATTAAAATCACTGGTAAATTGGAAGGGATACATTTGGCCCATTGCACAAGAGCACAGTTAGACCGTGGGCTCCTAATTCTGGTTTTGGAAAGCAGTTATTCTGTCATATTTTTTTATTTTCCTTCAACAGTAAAAATGACATTCAGTGTCTACACCAAGAAACAACATTTAAATGTAATTTGTGTACTCTGCAGCATGTGAAAGCCACGTGCCTGTTACTACAGTTTTTGAGGTCTAAAACAGCCCACAGAGACAGAAAGGCAAGCAGGTGCAGCCCCACGATTGAGAGGGCTCTGATGCCACCCACAAGCTCTGTGAGCTCCAGGATCAGATTGAGATATTTCTGTAAGACCTAGAAATACAACCTGAACCCTGAAAGTTTTATTGAGTGTACAAGCTTTGTAGATGATATAGAATTAACAAGTCACTGTGAAAGAAATACTTTAAAACCAGGCGTCTCACTCCCTTATACGCATGCATATGCACACATTATGAGAAGCTATAGGAAAAAAAAAATAAGCTCAGATAAAAGTTAAGACTATAATTACACATTTAATTTTGCAATACATTATCCAGATATTAAAATCCAACATATGCTTTGCTTGAAAATGATGGCAACTGGCATCGGAGTACAAAATTCAATTAAGAACAATTATAAACTTGCTTTGGATAATGGGAATGCCAACATCACAGATCCAAGAAGATACATTAATTTCCCACTGCTACAGAATTTGCAAGCTGAACAAAAGATATTCTGCAAATATTGAAAACATTGCAGCAACCACTTAGACCTTTTCCCAGAAACTGAGTCCAAGGCCTTTGTATGACTCAGTGCCATTCCTCTTCATTCTCCCATACCACCTTGCCCCTTGTTCCCTGACCAGGATGCCAACCAATCTTTTCTCTTTTTTTTTTCATGGCAGGGACAGGTGATGCTGTTTGGCTGGCATGGCACACCGAGTTACTGCATTTGCTTGAACTGCCTGTGCCTTGCATGCTAGCACACACTTAGCATTGCACAAACATATTACCTGCTACTACCCCATGCATCTTAGATGTTCAGAAACAACCCAATGGATAAGTAAAATGCATTGAATTTGTTTTTCACTCTAGTGATATGCTGTAACTACATTAATATATTTAGCATCTGTGTATTTAATATCCATGCTCTGAATCCTTCCCAAGCCCAGCTTCCTGCACAACAAACTGCAAATTTCTGCTTATCTCCACACGCTACAAAATTATAATCATACAACATTTGCCTGTAAATTAACAGTCAGCCATTTCTTGTCAGTTTATGCTAAACTAGATGCAGAAGAGATGCTATCGAAAATACAAACCTCTCATAAGGTTGTAACACTTTTATAGAAAATGTTGCATTATATGAACGTATATCTATAATCTTAACTATGAACTCTCCAAGTTATTTTCCTGTGATACAGTATATAGAATTATATGTTTGGTACAAATATAATTACTATGTAATCTGTAGGGCATATAATTATGCAATATATGAATAGTACATGCTAATTACTATGTGATTGCAGAGTAATTACATGGTTATTTGTGCCTTCGAGTCAACTGCTGAATTCCACTCTTTAAAACCAGATTCTGTGGAAGAGCTCTGAATGGGGTATAACAATGCAGACAGACATCAACTTACTTTATTATATAGCATTCTTTTAAAAGAAAAAAAAAGAAAAGATGTACTAAAGCACCTCCTTGCTAACAATCATATATATGTTTTCCATTAAGGATACGCAGTTATAGTAAATGCTGACAGAATTAAAAAGCACTGTGAATGTGAACACCTCAAAAATCAAACGGCACAGGTTAACGAAGCTTTCTGAAAATACAGCATATGCCAAATTCACTGACAATGCAAACAGCATTGAAAGTTATCTTGAAAAGAAGTTTAATCAGGTGCAAATTGTTCATACTCAATATTTATGCTCATTCATCTTTAACACAACTTCTATCTACCCAAGACTACTGTTCCTTCACATGTGAACTCTGAATGTGAACATTTACTTTTGTTTTTGTTTGTTTTGCTGTTGTTGTTTGTTTGCTTGCTTGTTTTTAACTATCCCTTGCTGTAACTTGCCACTTGCCTTTTCTATTTTGATCCATAAGTCTCCAGCTATTGTTCCCATCTTATTTATCATTGCATTATAGAAATTACTTCTACCTCTTGTAACCAAGACTAACATACAGCACATAGGAGATCTGCATCCACTGCACTTGAATTAAATGAGTCTGTCTGAACTTCTCATTAGTGCCAGCTTCCCCCAAGCTTTTAAATCACGTTTTAATGCAAAATTTACAATCCAGAACACACTTTGTGCTTTGTTTTTATTGCAAAAGTACGAAGTAATTATTTCTATGTCCTGTGGTATCTACGAACAGTTAACAACACTGAGAATATTTCTGAGGATTACTTACGCAGCAGTAATACATAAGGTCAGAATTTCACCCAGCTTCTGTTCTGCAAAGCTTAAATTATTAAGACAGGCAGAAGTTTGGCTCTTACTAGGTACTGACTATGTTAAGAGCAAATGGATCTAATCCAGAGCTACTTTTCCTGCCAGCATCTCTCAGGAGAGGTCTGTGTAAGATCTTTTCCCAGTTCCCCCTCTCTTGGGGCACTTGGGTATGGACGGGAGGTGGTCATACCAGCAGCCTGGGACAAGTGACGATCTCTGCTCACCACCATTTCCCCACCCAGAGCTCCCTCTCTCACAAGTTGCTTTGCCTTGGGCCCACGGTGGAACCCGTGCCAGACCACACAGCTCCCAGCTCCTGCCAAACCACTGCAGCCTCCCAGGTAAGCCACTTGCAGCCCGTCTGTAAGCAAAGTCTTGTTCCTGTGTGTGAGGCATGGGTGCCCCTCTGCCCCCGGGGGCATGGCAGAGCAGGTTTGCAGGCACTGGGGTGCAGCCTCTTCTCAGAAGTCACTGGCAGCTGCGAGCTGCTTTGTGGCTATGGGCACCAGCCTGCTGCAGTGCCAGGCGGCATCATGGCACAACAGGATAGAGTGAGGATGCCTAGAAACCTCCTCCTACCTGGCAGTTTGCTGTACAACGAGCCCAGAAACTGGGGCAGCAACAACTGGCTGAGAGATACTAACTTACCACGATAAGGATCACCAGCTCCCAGCTCTTCTACTGGGACTGTAACGCTTGTCTACAAGGTGAGGTGTTTTTCTTATCTATTTCACTGATGGGCCTTGTATTATAGTATAAGCTACAACGACTTTATTATTTCTCATCCTCTGAAACCTCCCACCCATGCCCATCATTTGCACAGCTGCAGCAGTTCTGGACTCAAGCCCTCATTGAGGTTTGGATAAAACAGCAGAAAGAAGCCAGCCAAAGTCTTTTAACCAGAGGTATTTCTAAAGTTTTAATAGGGCTTCCTCTGCCCTGTCTGATCTTCCTTATGATTCACTCGCTTTCACAGTCACTTCACCTTCATCTTTCATCTTTCTTGCATTTCCATTTCTATTTCATTTCTGCATTTCTACTGAGCCTTTGGCTGTCTCCTCAACTCCTGTTAACTCCATAGTGCACAAGAAGGGATTCTCAGAGGATACTGGGAGCTTATTCCTGCTCCCATTACGTGGAAGCAGTGGAAGGACTATTGCTTGTTCTGTAACGTTCATATTAAAAAGCAAAATGGACACAGGTTTCAATTTTCTTACATTACATAAAAAGCAATTTACTGAGGTTGTTATTAAAATTACAATTACTATTTGCAAGTAATCAGTATTAGTAGGCTTTTTGGGGTATTTAATGCACAGAGTGCTATAAAGAGAGAAGTAAATGTTAACATGATGGAAGGCAAAATTGCACAGTAATAGAGGTGGCTGTATGGGTATGGGTCTACTCCAAAGCAGGTACAGAATACTGCATATATAGGAACAAAAACCTGAGTGGGATAAGGAGGAGAACCACAACCCAACTCTAACAGAAGTGCTGCTATGGGGTTCACCAAATTACTTGTGCTTTTTAATAACAGAAGACTAAAAAAAAGTGGAAAACATGGGCAATATTGTCATCTGTATCTGAACGCATTCAATTAAACTACCATTTTCTTGGACAAGGCCTTTCTAATCCCAAACAACAGATAAAGAACAAGTCATCCCCCCAGAAAACATGGGATTGATATGTTCATGTTATTCTGAGGTTCCACCTGTCTTCTACTCAGCCCCTGGAGAATAGTCAGGCCTGCTTCAAACATTTTCTATAATCATGAAAAATAGGTGCTTACCTTAAAACTAAAGCTAATTATTGCCTATACTCAAGCTTTTCAGAGTCCTACCAAATAGGACAAGGTTCATGAGAAAATTGCAACAGATGGCAGCACTGGCCATGCAGGTGACAAGAATGTAGAGGCAAGAGCATTCCCCCCTGCTGGAGAAACAAAAGGGCCCAAACAAACAAAACTAACTAAACTGAGACTTTTGGTTCTTGAGTCCAAAGCAGAAACATTTTAAATTCTTGGTCAGTCCTCCCCAGAGCAGGGTATGCAAGTCTTTGATATCACAGGCCTTAAATTTATTTTCTGAAAATACTCATAAATCTACCCTGAGCAGATATTCTCCTGTCCGATTCCCGTAAAGATCATTAAGATTGCTTATTGAAAATCAAAATATATGATTTGGAAGTGTTCATCATTTGACTAAT